AATAATATGTATCAAATGTACAAACTTTTCAGTAAGGTAAAAAAGCATATCTTATCTCCAGCAGATCTCTGCACCCTATCTTGAATCCCCTTGCTATAGGTTTTTTTTCTTTTTTTTTTTTTCCCCTGGGAAGCTTTTCTTTTTAATATGTGAGTAAAGCAGAACAAATTCTCTCATGTTGTCTATGATCTCTTAATCTCAAACTCAGCACAGATACATAACACTGCTTAATGGAGGAAAAGCAAGAAGCATTTGATTAAATGTTTGATCTCTTGAGGAATGCGCAGGCTCTGTAGAGCACAGTGCACAGCTGGCAAATATTTTTGTGTTTTATTATTGATTAAAAGTGATTAAAATTAATAATTGGTTCAACTGATAAAAAAAAACTTTTTTTCCTGAGCTAAAAACTGAAAAGATATGATTGTTTTGGTTGCAGGGAATTCTGGGATATAAGAAGTGCAGAATTGCCTCTATAATGTCATCTTCCACTGTCAGCATCCATTGCAAGTGCAGGGGCATTCTTTGCAGCAGGACCATCCATGACTTTAGGGGACTGAAATGACCACTGACACGTCTGTTTTAATTATGCTGATTATAAATAGGTACAGTATTAAACCACAACTCTCTGGACATTGGTTTTTTTTTTCTTTACCACACAGCTGTCACCGTCTGGACAAAGTGAATGTAGCGTGTTATTAAATCTGAAGCGTAGCATCTTCCACCTAGTTGGAGACGTGTACATTATGAGTCAAAATGCAGGGAACAGGCTAACATGTTCATGCCCCTGTATCATCACAGTGTTGGCACTGACAAAGTTTCAGCTAAATACACGGCAAAAGTGCTGGTTTTCTTTTGGGAAGGGGCACAGTCTGTTTCAAGAGGACACAATGGAATAATGACCTCATCTACACAGGACTGATAAAAATGGAATAGAATGGAAAAGGCCTTTAAAATTTTTCTATCCATGGTAATAAGAATGTTAGGACCACGAAATCAGGCTGTCACAAAGAAAGGGTAGGTGTCCTCGGCTACTGATGCAGCATCCCCACTTACGCTGCCTCCGCACCCGGTCCCTGCCCTCTGCTCAGCATCTGCCGGTGTCTCTGGTCCAGTTGCCCTGGGAAGGACAAAGGCGCAAGAACAGCCAAGGCCACCATGCTAAACTTCTCTCCCGAAGCCTGTCAGGAGAGTTTCTCAGGGAATAAAGTGCGAATGGAGCTGGAGACAGTGATAAATTTCCCTTCTGAACAATCAATAAAATTCTCTCAGCCCTGCTCAGGCCCCTACTGCGGATGCAAGGGCCATAATTACATTGTCAAAAAGTCGAGTTGCCCTGGCTGACTGAAACCCCCTTTAAAACTGACATGTGATTGACAGGCAGTTTATGGGTGGCACGCTCTGACTGGCAGGGGAGTTGGCTAAAGCCAAAGGCAACAGTGAAATTTCCCAGTCTGCTACAACCACCGGAGCAAAGGACTGCCACTCACAAGGGAATTGTGGGAAACCCTTAGTCATATTAACATATCAAAGTGAGGAGCTGACAGCGCTTACTAAACAATCTGAACTCAACCATGGCTGCAGAGCATCCCCCAAACTTCCCGGTCTGAAAGAGAAAAGAAATTAAAATGCACTCAGTCCTGTCTTCACCAAGACAGCCAAGAATTTAGAAACCTGCTTATTTAATGATTTTGATCTGAGATAACATATATATGTGTGTATACATATGTATCTCACAAACATATATTGCTGAGCATGTCAGCCTCTTTCATATATGTATGAAAGAGGTTGTCATGCTCAACAATTTGTTCTATACCACAGGCCAGACTGGTACTAAATTGGAGACAGAACAGCATATTTCTGTTTCATGTAAGCAATATGAACCCAGCAAAAGAACACACTCCTTTTGGTCTTGTTTTCTAGCGGGCTTCTACTGCTTCAATGCTAAATTGCGGATTACATGGTTTGAATGAACCTTAATTGCAGCCATGCACTGGGACTGTATGCAGTGCAGAGCTTAAAAGTGACTTCATAGCTAGTCTGGGTTTCTTGAATAAGAAATTGATAAGAATTCTTGAATAAGAATTGATAAGAAATTGAAACCAAGAGATGTTTCCACTAATGGGCCAAGCCACCTTTGGCTCCACATACTCCGTCCGGGTAAATGCTTGGGTTACAGACCTCACCTTCTTGGTTTCCTTGGGAATGAAGAATCACTGGGAATTATGGTATTGAGTAAAACGTATGAAATATCAGTGAGAAATGCCTTGAGGGTACTGACGTGGACACCTGGGCTTACTTCCCTCCATCATATTGCCAAGGTAACACTGTAAAACATACTTCTGCCCTGTTTGTCTCCGTAATTTCATGGGTTGTCTGTGAGGATGGAGTCAACAAACTAGTGATGGTACAGGCTCAGAAGGGAAGCAAGAAGCAGCACAGGAGGCATAGCTGCAAGGAGATGCCACTGTTTTTTCCCACATTGCTAGAAAACAGCAGCACGAAGAAGACAGGGCTCTTGTCATAAAGCTCTGAGAATTTAAGGACAAAATCCTGACTTACAGGGGTCAAACTGAGAATGGAAGGATACTTTAAAGTAGCAGAAGATACTTTAAAGTATCAGAAGATACAGAAAGTGAAATAGCAAGAGATGTTGTCAGGCAAATTCAAATGAGACATTTTAATACTTTTCTTAAAAAAGAAAAAAAAAACATGGATGATTAACCAAATTAATCCACTGGAACAAGCTTCTACACAAAACGCTGGCTTCTGTTTCCCTTGATGTCCTCAAAGACCAGGCCTTTCTGGAAGGCATGCTTTAATCTAATGCGAGTTACTGAACTCAAGGCTGGGATAACTATGTGAAACGCAGTGGCCAGTGACGGACAGTCAATTCAGCCCAGATGATCTAACAGCACTTCTTCACAGAGCCCCTCTAGGAAATGGGATAGAAATGCTCTGCCCTTCTGCAAAGCCAGTTTACTGACAGTATTAAAGCCATTTGCAAGCACTGAATAATTTAGCCTCACTGTGTCTCAACGAAGTGGTCAAGACCACCTGACGTGGCTTTTGGGAGTAGTGCAGCCCACCTCCCTTGCCACCTCCAGAAGCACCTTCCCCAGCCTCTGCTGATCTCTCCTGATTCAGAAAAGCATCTGTTCACCAACCACCCTCCAACAACCGACCTCGCCTGACCTTGCTTGGCTCCTGTGAACTGACAGGATTACTGCACAGTGGTACAGCTCGCTCCCTGTCTGTGCTCAGATTGTACCCCTCGGTGTCTGACATCATTTTTGACTGAGAGCCATAAGTGTCAGCGATGCTCAGATAGCAACATTTCTGCCTGTAGGCCAGGAGAGTGTAAGTTCAAGCCCTGCTGGAGGATACGAACGCCTACTAATATGAAGGTTGACACACAAGAACATACGGGAGGGAGATGAGGCATTCAGATGTGTTGGCTTTTTTTTTTTTCTCCTCTATGACACATACTGCCTTTAAAAACAGCCTGTTAGTTAAGAGCTTGACGTGTGTGTATTGCACTAATATTCTGATTCATGCTGAGTTTGGACCTGAATTCCATATCCAACCCGCTGCACCAAGAAATGGCCATTTTTTACCTGTATTTCACAGCCTTCCAAAAAGAGCTCTGTATCTAAACTCTTCTACCCCACAACATCTGCAAACCTACATCCATTTTCTGTTCTTTCGGTCCCTTGTCTCTTCCACTTGGTAGGAACATAGAGCTCTGGCACTGCAGGGCTTCCTTTGAGAGAAAAAGCCAGTGGTTAGAGCAGAGGACCAGGCATCTAGGACTGAAATTCTTGGCATTTCCACAGCTTTTCTGCATAGCCCCGGACTTGTCATTTATGACAGCAACCTGTGCTGAGCAGGTGCAGCTGTGTGGACCACCAGGAAAACAGAGAGATGCCAGCTATGCTCCTAATGCTAAAGACAGACCAATGGCGTTGGGATGCCAGCACAGCATGGAGAGATGGAGGAGGAGGAGGGGAAAACACATTGCCAGGAGCACTTTGCTGCTGCTTTGAGAAGTATCATTCCCACTCCAGCTGGCACAGGCTACTAACTGCAGCACATTTGGCATTGGCCTCACCATGGGACCTAGCTGGCAGACTATCCTCTCTTGGAAACCCCAAGAGCCATACCCTCTTTTGGAAGGAAACTTCCCAGTTGTTATAAAGAGATAAGGAGAGAAGGATACGCTCTACAACTGCCTGAAAGGAGGTTGTAGCGAGGTGGGGGTCGGTCTCTTCTCCCAAGTAACTGGCGAAAGGACGAGAGGAAACGGCCTCAAGTTGCGCCAGGGGAGGTTTAGATTGGATGTGAGGAAAAATGTCTTTACTGAAAGAGTGGTTAAAGATTGGACCAGGCTGCCCAGGGAAGTGGTTGAGTCCCCATCCCTGGATGTATTTAAAAGACGTGTAGATGAGGCGCTTAGGGACATGGTTTAGTGGGCATGGTGGTGTTGGGTTGACGGTTGGACTTGATGATCTTAGAGGTCTTTTCCAACCTTAATGATTCTATGATTCTATACCCCATTCTCCACATGATTCAAAACAGATCTGAGGTCCAGTTTACAAGGGACAGAGACTTCCATTTGTGGACAGACATGCACAAATTCGAACATCTGCTAGACACCTAAATGACTGCCAGGGTTTCATAACTGCTTGATACCATCTATCTTCTTCTTAGGGTCCAGATTTTCAAAATGGCTCAGCTCCCAGTATGGGAGCTTTTATGGAGATACAGCACTGAGCTTTCATGCATAAGATACTGCAGAAATAGGAGTGTGATGGTGAATGCAAAGATATTAAGTTCTGGCCCAAAAACCTGATTTCAACAAATATTTAACTGTAATTATAAATCCAAGTTCATGACCAAAGTTGGTTTTGTTTTTGTTTTTTCTCCAAAAACTTTTTTGCTTCATTTTGTTTTCTTTTATTCATTTGTGCTTTGCTTTTGAAGAGAAGAAAAAATGTACTTACCATGAATGGAGAGGGTCCCATTCCTCACTGCCAGGAACTTGACCCCATATGGAAATAATGGTGGAGAATGGAGGCTTCCATAGAGATAGATGTGTGCCTTGTGACGGAAAGGAGCCTCAGGGGATCCCACCTGGAGCTCTCCTCCATCAGATATCAGAATGTAATGAGCATGCAGTTCTACAGGTCCTGGACCAGTGAACAAGAGTTTGCCACCTGAAGACAACAGAAGAGCAAAATGCAACCATAGATCTAATAGCCAGTCATTATCTCACAGTCAAAGGAACTGTAAGACATGGGTAAACAAATGGTTTTGCAATAAAATTATGAGATTAAGGGTAAAATATTATCGTGGCCTGCAAAATTTCCACCTTGCCCTGTACTTCTCCCTATGGATTTATCAGCTCTTTACAGACCTTATTTATTCAGTCCATTTTTCAATTCTACCGCAGGCTGCCTTTCTAGACTTGAGCAAGGCCATTCAGCCTGGGCAGGCATCGAAGTCTCTCCAATTCCAGTGCAAGGGAGCTGTGTCTGGAAAATCCCAGTTTTAACCTACTCACTCTCTAAATGTTAAAATGGGATATTACTACTTAATTTGTATGTTACTTTTCAGATTACAAACTACTTGTGACAGGGAGAGGGGAGGGCAAAACAGCTTTGGAACATAAGAACTGGCAACTTGTTTAGATCAGCTGTTGATTTAATCCTGCATACTCTTCCAGCTGGTGTTCAAAACCAGATGCTTCCAAATACAGTATAAGAAACTTCTCCCTGTTAGCTGGATGTGAGATGATCTCCCCATCCCATGAAAGCCTCATTTTAATCCCTAATTAGAGGTTAGCTTCGCCTCAAAGCATAAGGTTTCATCTCCTTGCCAACATTTTCCTTTTACCATCTATTAGTATAACTGGATAAGATTTGTCAGTAATATAGATCTGATCCTTCAAATCTTTCTAATATTTAGTCTCGATGACTTCTTGAAGCAATGAATTCTGTGGTCTAAGTACATAGTGCATGAAAAGGCGTTTCCATCCCTTGGTTTTGACTCTCTTCAGCTCTGTCAAATGCCTCCTTTGTTCTTGCCTTGTGTGAGCTGGCAGTCCTAGTCTATCATCTCAGGATGGTTTATTCTTTTATCTCCTTTTATATTTTCTCTCCTATGAAGGACGCTATCGCTATCTTTACAATGTATTTGGACAGAGTGGACTCTCAGACATCTAATCATTCTGCACTTGGGATATGTCTTCCTAGGTCAAGCCCTGTTTCCCAGGAGCTAGCAGGGCATACCACAAAGCCTGGCAACCTCAGACCTCCTTAGACAGGGTCTATCATGCTCCCAACATTTCCCTTTATGTGTACTAGCTAATAACTGTGCCATCTCATACCATAGCCAGCTTTCTACTGGTGTTAGCAGGTTTTACTGGTGACCTTTATACCGACCAAACAGTTGGCTTACTTTCCCCGCAAGATACTACCCATCCTTGGCATGAAGGATTAGGAAGATCAGATCTCTGGTTTAATTTCAGTATTGAGATGCAAAAGGAGGGAAGAAGCTTTAATATAAAAATTAGATTAAAAACTACCTTGATCCTTGCTTGCCTTTGATCAGCTCCTGCTGCTCTCAGTGATAAGGGAGTTGCGTAACACTTGTGTACCTTTCCCACCCAGTTGCCTCCACTCCTGCTGACCTTATTTATTCTTCCATTGAGAGGCTTTCATTGTTTCATTGATTTCTCAGTCTTATAACTTTGTCTTTGTTCTGTTTTCTTAGTCTTATAACAAAGATAGTATTTGAATAAGGACTACCCATTAAATATTTTCTTTGCAGATTTCGGTAGATTCCAGATAAGATTTTACAGAATATGCTTAATAGATGAAAGAGAGATCTCACACTGTCTTGCTTATAATCACTGGGAACCATGGGATTGCTCCCACAAACACCAACTCCCCCATGTGTAAATTGTC